TTTCAGAGTTAGAAGACACAGAAGACAGATGAACACAAAAAGAACCACAAGCATAAGCCCACACAGCTAGAGCCACCTGACTTTTTCACCAAAAATAATTATTGGAGGAAGATAGGCTCTTCAACAAATTGTACTGCAGAACAATGAAGCTAGATTCATAGCCATTGTGTGTTAAAAATTGACTTCAAAATAGACTCTAAATGGCCTGTGAGGCCTGGAACCCTGAAATTGTTACAGAAAAAAAAATAAAGAAAACAGTTCAAGATGTAGGAATAGGCAAACACTTCCTGAATAAGATTGCAATCTTCTTTACAGCAAAGGATCCAGTGAGTGAAGAGAGAGAGATCTGCTGAGAAAGGCAGGAATCCCAGACAAGCTGAAATGGTCTAGGGATACATGTGTTACCCAAAAGGTATTTTGTCAAAGACAGTACACAAACTGTGTCTGTTTAGGACCAGATGGTTTATTCCAAAGACATTTCAGTTACAGATGTCAAAGACAGCCAAGAAAATTTGCTTACTTGGAGCCAAAGGGATAGATGACCTAAAGTACCCCCCCTTTCTTTCCTAAAATTAGATAATACATCTTCATCACTCCACCTTCCAGCTTAGTTTATGAGAAAAACAAATTCTCTATTCAAATGTTGAATAAATTACACTTTGTAGACACTGTAACTGAAAATGCAACAAGATCATCTCTCTCTCTCTCTCTCTCTCTCTCTCTCTCTCTCTCTCTCTCTCACACACACACACACACACACACACACACACTTATGAAAACACTTGAGGGACTATAGATATGGTTCAGTGGTTCAGAGTGTGTACTGCTCTCACAGAGGACTGGAGTTCAGTTCCCAGCACCCACAACCTGTGACTCACAACCACATTGAACTGCATTCACGTACACAAACCCACACACAGGCACATGCACATATACATATTTAAATAAAAAAGAAAACCTAAAACACACACCATTGAACATGACTCCCTGGAGATACTCACATTCATACCATCAGATTTGCTTTATTCTTTCTGGAGCTCATTTCTGTTTCTAATAAAATTCTACTTAGCCCGGTATTGCATCTCCCTCCTTGAAACTCTGCTTTATTGAAACTAAGGGGCACACATCCCAATTATGCCTGATTGGAGACCTCTAAAAAGGACTCCACAGGCAGCTGGTACTGGGTGTGTGGTACGAAGTCATGTCCCCATAGTGTCCATTGCTGATAGATCTAAATAAGAATCTTGTTGGAAATGCTGATCATAAGCACGTTAAGTTTTACCTTTAAAGAATGAATGCTGTTTTCTACACTCTAGTTTGGTGTAATTCAGTTCTTTTATGAGTGCTTTCTCATCAAGAAGCTGAGAATATTTTTGAAACAAAGCTGTAAAACAGAATAAAAACAATTCATTTTTTGTTAGTGCTAACAAACAAAAAATCCACTCTTTACATTTATCTTCTTACATTCTTTGTAGAAAGAAAACCTATAAATGTCCCATTACCTGAGTAGTTACAGCATGCCTGGGAAAGATTTCCCATCACCACAGAGTGTGGAGGCTGTGGCCCTAGCACTTGGGAATTAGAGTGAGGAAGAATGGAAGTTTCAGGTCATCCTTAACTATCCAAGTTAGTATAGTTGGTTGATTGGTTTAGCTAGCTAGTAAGTTTAGTTTAGTTGGTTCATTGGATAGTTTATTTAGTTGGTTAGTTAGTTAATGGCCAGCCTGGTCTACATGAGAACCTATCACAAAAAAAAGACCATTTTTCATCACCTCACAACCAGTATTACCCTTCTCCTAGTGATTTATGACCACAGCTATCTTCAGGAAGAGCTGGAAGGACAGGACAGATCCATGACCCTGGGTACTCTTCAACATTTCATGGAGGACACACTGAAGACTACATCTTAGGTGATAAGTTCTATTAAGTATGTGAGCACCCCAGGAAAGGTGATGGAGAAATGAGCTAATCCAGAGCAGTTCCAGGTTACCTGAGCACGGAAGTCATAAAAGAGCAGACAATGATCTAAAGGACTTTGTTTTCGTCCTCTTTCCTGTATCTCCCTCCCCGCAGCTAGCTCTGACTTCCCAGTGTCCCCACACTTTCACGGAGTTCCTAACTTAAAACCAACTCATCTTTCCTTGAGAAATTGAATTTTCTTTCTTCTCTTCCTCATCTCCCACTTGTTCCTGGAGTCACTAGACTCTGGCTTTCCCTTCTGCTCATTTACCAAACACTCCTGAACTAGATGTCAATGGCTCCTCCTGTCCACTAATCAGTCATCTTCCTGTGGGACTTCTCACATAACCCTGCCCACTTCTCTTCCTCCATAACTGTTGAGAGACATTGGCTCCCTCCAGTTTTGCCTGGTCCTGTTTGCTGCTATTTCCTGTGCTCTTTTCTACCAGTTTTCCTCTACATCTACCTCTTTTAAATTGAAACATTGCATCCAGTTCCTTCTGTATCTGTCTTTCTCATCCAAATTCCTCTGTCTTAGTGATATTCATTGTCCTGGATTGTTGGGAGGGGGGAGTAGAGGTGGTTGGTTTTTTTCAGTCTGTTTTTGTTATGTTGCATATTAGCAAAGTTCTTAAAAAAGGTACACCTCTTTCCTAAAATACGTTAATATGCATCAACTAAACTGTGCAATAGAAAATTAGGTGAACATAAACAAAACTTAAATCATCATATTCAAACTCATCTTCTTATGCTATGGGACACAGGAATATGAAATAGAGATTCAGCTGTATACGGTAAAGCTAAACCTAGAAGGATCAAGGAATCCTTCTGAAGGAAAAGTCGAATCTCAAGGAGTATTTGGTGTTATTTGGTATTAACATATCAGCTGTTTCCTACTATGAATCTTTTGTGCTCTCATAATTTCCTCAAGAATTTATAACAGTGTGAATGGACCATTCCTTGGGCATATACATTTAAAGTACTTGGATAAAGCACATAGACAAGGCTTTCTGCCTCCAGACTCCCTGCTCCCAGGGAAGTTAACCATAATGTCTCTTCTGAGGACCTTGCAAGTCTTGTATTGTAGTGTTGCTGTTTTGGTGAGATATAGACTGGTTCCCCAGAGTACCGGGCAGAATTATGGTGGGAGAGGAATAAAGCAGATGGATGAAAGAGCTTGTATTTAGATTCTTTTCCCAAAAGTCACTTGCACCATTAGTAGTGTCTCTTCTGGGGCCTTGGGAAAGAAAATAAAGAGGCTGGACCTCAATAGTGTTCATATTTCTTCCTATCAAATAAATTCATGACTGCTGACTTTATGAAATCAGAAAATTAAAGTCATACCTCACTCCTCTGTGTTCCCTAATGTCATCTATTAATGTTGATCAAAACATCACCTCCTTTTGGTCCAAATTCTCTCCTCTCCTGTGCATCACTCACATGATCTTTAGATCGAACCCCTAGTGCTGTTCAAATAGACTCTGAATTAGTGTCCTAGTTTCTCCTTCCCTTCATTACCACACTCGGTAAGAGCAAACTTCTCTAAGTCAGTTTTAATTTTATCATGTCCTGCTTCAGATTCATCAGGGAATCTCCATGACTGTGACACATGGAAAAACTGGACACACTTCTCAAGCTTCCCTATGTAAATATCCACTTGGCCTTTGCAGTTCCCTACTCAAGAGACTGGTCTAGTTCTATATCACCTCATCTGAGCTGCCATTAAGAGTTCTTTGGCCACTAAAATATACAAAGGCAAATATGTATTAGCTCCATGTAGAGCTTGGCTTACTGCCTCCATCTGTCCTGCAAGTCTGAATTTGTCATGGGGAGCTGAGTTGAATTGATGCATGCCTCCATGAGAATGAGTAAGTTCAGCTAGGACCATGGGAATCTCCCAAGAGAGACCAGTCTCTGTGAAGCCACGAAGCAAGAATTAAAAAAATAATTCAAAGAACGTACCAAGTTTTAAGTGGGCTAATGGTTCAGCAACAACTACCAAATAAAATAACATTTAGAGGGGATGCCCTGTAATATGGTATGCACTACTTTATGATCTGAGTCCAGTTTTGTCTGCTACAGTTTCATGCTTATTTCTCCATGTAGCACTATACATGACAGTAATGTGTACTTATAATTACCCATATGTCCCATGTCCCCACATGTCTATGACATTCCTGGCACACACAGGTCTAGGTGTCACCTGCTCCAAGCTTTTCTTAGCCTCCCTGTGTTTACTTCTTACTTATCACCTGCAAAGCATTTACCATGCAATTTTTAAAGTACTAATTCACTTGACTCTACTCTAAATTTCCTGAGACTGGGCACTGTAGATCTTTCTGGATTCTCTACATGCTCCCTAATATATAGTAAATGATTATTACTAATTATTTAATGAATAAATAAAACACCTACATAAAATATACCATTTATACTTTCCAATTTTTCATAAATTTGAAAGCCAATCTGCAAAGAAATCCACTATTTTCTAAATTAGCTTCTAGGACTCACATGATCTGGAACAAAAATTAAATGATTAGAAGAAACTTCACTGTAGCACTGTCTCTGGAATAGCTCTGTCCATCTCTTCTCAACACCTTTCTCATTCCAAATATTAATATGTATGCATCCAAATGATGTGGAAATAAGGTTTATCTTTAGTACTGGAGTCTCATATAGATGCCCAGGATTTCACTCTGTGCCACCAACAAACATACACTTGCTTCTCTAGTGAGAATGAATGACTTTTACAGAAGAGTTATTCTGAAACAGGGAAAATTCCCAATGTCATCCATCTCCCCAGAAAGTGTCTGTCTCAAGTTTCTGGGTCACCATCTGTCTAATGAGTCACTTTCCTTCTCTGTGTTTACTTGTCCCATGGTCATACTTACAGATCAGAGCAACAGAGAATAAGGTTGTCAACAGCAGGAAATAGACTGTGAATGAGGTGAGGAGGACCTTGGAGAATCTGTGACAGCTTTCATGAGTTGTGGTCTTCTTTTGAGGAACTGAAAGACAAACCAAACTCATGTCTTGCGCTCTGTTCCTATTTCCTCTTCTTTCTCCTATTCTTCTCTTTTTGTGCATCATAAACACTAATAACATGATGTTTAAAGTAGTTGGAAAATGCAAATAGGAAATAATTATATTATTTATGTATTACATACTATATTAATAATATAATGTATTATATTGTTAATTATAGAAACAATACAATGTGAATAAAATCACTCATTCCTGACATTGACAATGATTGTTGCCAATATTTTGGTATGTATTTTTCAAACAAGCTTAAAGCTTTTACATATGAATGTTTATTTTATAAAATTGGAACATCATAAATACTGATTAGGAACTATCATTTTTTGACATTATATCATAATTTTTCCTTATTATTTTTGTTTTATTTTGGGACAGGGTCTTGGTATGTACCCCAGGCAGACCTTGAATGCATTATGTAGTCCAAGCTGGCCTCAAACTCACATACACCCCATGTCTCAGCCTCCTGAGTTTTGTGACTACAGGCTTGTGCCAGCACATCTGAATGAACATTATTCTATATCATTATGTCTTCTTTATCAGTTTTATTATGATTGCATAGTATTTTATCATATACTCTTAAAGTCTTCCAGCTTGCTCCAACTTCAAATATGCAATAGTCAAGCACTCACATTTTGTGATACAGTCACCACCTTTCTAGTCACCACTTCTAAAATAGTTACAATACTTCCCAACCATGGGTGAGGTCCTGTGTTGTGTCCCCATCAAGGAGGGAGAGAGTGAAAGAAACTACTCAACACCTGGATGCCAACAGACTATGACATGTCACCAGATAGAGGGGGAAATCAGGATGCCATGGTTTAACTTTGAAACAATTTGTTACACAATTATATGTCTATTTATATGTAGAAAATATACAATAACATGGGTTGTGGGATTTTTCTCTAAATGGTAAAAGACACCTTCTCTTCTCCATTGTACAATCCCACAATCTTTCACATCTGTCTACAGGCAACACACTTGGTTGGCACTCCAGTGACCCACAGGCATGGCCAGAGGCGAACATTATCTTTGTCCTTTACATCATCACTCACTAGGAGCAGCAGAAAATGTTTTCTTACCTGGAGGAGAGTCTGCATTGAGGTCTGAGGAATCGAATTTATTTTTGAAGTTTGTGTTAATATAAATGTTTTCTGAAAACATGTTGAGAAGCAATCTTCCCCTGCCCTCAGAAGATGTGTGCCATCCCTTCTTTAAAACAGGTCCTGAACGAGAAACAAATGTGGCAGCAATTGTCCCGATACCAGCTAGGGATGAGAGGCAGCAACAGACAGCTGCCCTGAGCATACACCATGAGGTACCGTCCCCTGACCTGCAAAAGGAGAATCACAGATGGAGAACACACCCAGGATCTGTATACAGTCGTAGAAATACCAAGAATTCAAAGGGTGAGAGAAGAAAACAGGAAGGAATGGAAAAGAGGAACCAGGCCATTAGAGAAGTCAAACTCCTCACAGAGTTGAGATTCGGTCTGAACTGACCTCTACAATAAAGCCTGTCATTCCCATCCTTGTGCTGTGATTCCTACTCCTTATCGCTACAGAGCCGCCTCTTGGACTCTCTGGGGCTTTAAAACCACACTCAAGTCGCCCCCATGGACAGAAGAGTTCTTCAACACAAAGACACCTAGTATACACCCTAGACTGTCCCACATCATGGGCTCAGTGTTTTCACCCTGTTCAGTCTGTGGAAGCCCCAACAGCTCTATCTGAGGAATGGATACCCCCCTAAATCTTCCTGAGCTCTGACACCCAGTTCTTCCACACCCCAGCAAGGATTTCCTCGCTCACTTGAAAGTCACTGAGTTCCCACCTGTGTTTTCCACTCCCACACTCTGTACCTTGCCTGGTTCCTAGAAACCTTGTTTACCCTCTGTGAGGAACTTCCCCTCAGTCTACTGAGGCCCCAGACCCCAACCTGACTTGGAACTAACACTGTGCACTAGGGCCCACCCTCACCTCCTTCAAATGCTGAGGTATCACACCAGGCTGACCTTGAGGACCCTCTGCTCACCACTCATTCAGGGTTCCGACTTCCCACAAGAAGGGGCCTCAAGCATGAATACCTTCTCACCCTGCTTCAGCTCAGAGGCTCTGCACCTGCCCACTCTCAGACACAGCTGACCTTGTCACCTCTCAGGCTCTGAAGTCTCACATCAGGCTGCGGCTCATGGACTCACTCCCCATTCAAGACACATTTCCCCTCACTGCTCAGGCTCCAATTCTGCTGTCAAGCCAGCCCTCCGCACAGACAAATCATTGCTTCACCACACCCCACCCTACCATGGATGCCTACCCTGCCTTGTCCTGTATAATACTTTACTCAAAATGCATTATTTAATAAGGAAAGGGAAAATAGTATTTTTAAAGGATAGAAGAAGAACAAGAGAATTAATAGTGCTTCATTATATGGTTGAGGGTCCCTGTGATTCATGCACAGACAACCTCTCAACTGTAACCAGGTCAATCATAATTGTAGCTCCCAGGGTTCAGACCTAGACAAGACTGATGATTACCCTTCTTTTCCAGTAGCATA